TAGAAAAGTTGACAAATAATTAACGTTGAAAATGATATTTTTATTGACATCTGGCTGAGTTGCACAAAAATGTAGTTTTTCCACGCAGACAACGAGTTACAGTAATAACAGCAATGGGCAAATAGTGAAGGATGAAACGAAGCGACAATAGCAAGAAAGGGCCACACTAAATAGCTTGGGCCCACGGACCACGCGTTGCGCACCCCTGGTTCAGATAAGCATGTGAAGAACTTTGAGCAAATTGTTATAGAAATACGTTAGCATCAGCACAGCTGTTGGTGTTGGCGTGTTTTCATCAGAGTCAAGAGTCGAATCAAACTCCCCAAACGAAACTCACAAAATGTTTAAGTTTACCAAGTATTTTTAACAGTCTATTAAAGGAGACGCATGTACACCAAGTCACCAAGTTTGATTTCCTTAGAGTTTGCAGTCAAAACTTCTTGCAAGTCATTGAAAAACTATTGTTTGCTGCCTTTCTCATAATAAACGCTTCACGGATGAAAATGATAAAATATTAGCAAGAATGTTGAAACAATGATGCTTACAATATGAAGAGCAAGAAAAATAATGAGACAACATCAAAGTATATCAAAGATAAAATAAATCATAGGCAGATTGAAAAGGTACAGAAAGAGCTCTTTTTTAAAAAGGGTCCTCCGATGAAATGAACTGGAAACTAATAATAAATGCAATCTATATGTTACGAGCCTGCATTGAGATAGAGACTGGTCATTTCAGGTAATTATCAAATTAATTTTATTGGAGTGCACTTGCCGACTTCTCTATTCAAAAGAGCTGTTATGTACTTTTAGGGTTTTTTCATACTCCATATCTAATAGAATCTAGATAACAGCTGTTAATGCATAACAGTGTATTCTTTTGGGGAATTCCATTCCCACCAAGGCTAAAGACAAGCAGCTACTGCTCTTTTTGAAAAACCAGAATCTAACTTATTACATGCTGATGCTGGGATAGGTGTCGTATGGGGATTGAAATAAAAGCCTTACCCAGTGGTTCTCAAACGATGGGCGGGCCCAACAAGAGGGCGTAGACAATTTTTCTTAGGGGGCGTGAACATAAATATTTGATCTTGCCCACTTTATTTGGCATATTTATGTTTCACCCACATATTTTCAACGTATTTTTTGAATATGACATACTTTTGCCTTACTATCTGTTATTTGTAGCTTATTGTTAGCTAGTTATTTTTGAGGTGGGGCGCATAACTTAACAAATTCTAAAAAGGCAGCTTGGCTTAAAAAGTTTGAGAACCACTGCCTTAGACCTTGACGCCAACATAACAGTTCAATGCTCTGACCATTAAGTTATTGAACCCACAAAAAAAAGGAAATGTAAGAATGGGAGCATAGTTGAATATAACATGGTGTAGTAATGGTGATCGTCTACGGATACAAAAAAATAAAATTTGAGAGCAAAAATGAAGAAGCTGATATAGTAACAAAAATACACAACGATTGGGAATTGAAAAGTTGACAAATAATTTACGTTGAAAATGATATTTTTATTTATCACACAAAAATTTGATATGTGTGATATGGAAGAATGCCTATTGGAATGTTTCATTGGGTTCCACTCAGACGAAAAGTTAAAAACCGGTGACCGTACACTTGAACCCATGTGTATATACGCGGGTTCAATCTATATGCGGGTGCTAAAACCCATGGGTTAGGGTTAGTATGGGTTCAAATATCCGCAAAACAAAAAAAATGTCCATAGGTGCAATAGTATGCAGGTACAATTGTCGTGGGTTCAAATGTACGGGAACCGTAAAAACCACCTCCCCAATGCAATAACAGTACGGTTATTAATTCATATAACCATTATACCAGATCAACACAGACGTACACGGCTGTAAAAAATCAATATTACACTAATAATGCTAATTCCTATTCAGAAATTTATTCAGAGAATTTAAGAGGATTTACGGCAAATTATCAATATACATGGTGGACCAAAAGTAGGTTAATAGTTATCCAAATTTATTAATTTAAGAACTGTTGACCTATTCTTGGACTACCCTGTATTTGATAGATTAGTGGCCTAGTAGTAAAAGCATTAGACTTCGTCGCAGATTACACGTCCTGGGTTCGAGTCCCATACCCACCACCTCAACTAGGGTGTAATAAATTGGATAAATAATATTGATCGGGAAAAAATTCAGTCTCCCGAGAACTACTGGCCTGTGTATAGCCGTGTTCAGAGTAAAAAAAATATGAATGTGTAAGAAAATATATTGGTCTGGCAATGGATTCAACATGTAGGTGATATTTGTGTCGCCCCAGTTTGTTGCTTTTTCTTTACACTGTGTTAACACAATACTAATGGATCAATTATTGGAGAGATTTTTGCACTTATTTCGACACTATGAAATGGGATTTGAAAATGAATTGTATGCTTGAATACATTTGGAAATACTAAGTTCTGGATTTTTGTAATAATTTCAGTTTCCTCATTTAGAGTCCGTGATTTTCAGAAAATAAAATCGAGAATTTTTCGCTTATTATTGACAATATGTTAACAGAGAATCAATAAATTGATTTCCAAAGAGATTTTCTCACTTTTTGGCCTTCTCCGCCTTTTTGATATGAATTTGCTCGATTTCTAATAAATTTTTAATTTTTGTTCCTCCAGATTTTCTGCAGAAAACAAATGATATTTACATTTCATTAATTTTTTAAGACTTTCAGAGTAAAAGTTAACGACGGATCTGAGCAAACGACACAGAATCGATCAATATAAAAATTCCAAGGAAATTTTTTCTATGACGATATTTCATATCTTTACCCTGAACAAGACTCTATAAAAGCAAAAGCATTCAATATAATGTACTCGATATTTTAAAAATATTTTCGGAATAGTGGAATATTCGGAAACCAGAAAGATTCCAATCCTACATATCACTGGCTGCTTGTCCAGACATTTTGTTCAGGAAGACTGTAAAAATTAGGATTTGATCTAAAAGTTTGGGGCAAGAAAGCCAAAAAAAATTTATCTATCCCAATAAAAATTTAATTCACAGCAAAAACATCTTGCATCACAGCAGAAGCAACTGCTCGATATCGAGAGCAGCCGAGCTGAAAAAAGTTAAAGTACAAACGCAATGCTAATGAGTCATTGTCTAAACTAATATGTATATATATATCTAATGTGTATATATATGCGCTCGAGCGCTCTTCTGCCTTAACGGTTGCATTGTTTAGCCCAGGTTACAAGTTTACTTTAGCACCGTATTAACAACTTATTACATCAATAAGTACCAGGCAACAATAAAGATTAGAACAGGTCAAACAGATGCTACAGCCAAGGATTAGAAACTATCCACATGAACCATTAAAGCCTGCACTTGATTGAATCCTAATTAGGTAAGCTCGTAGATCTTTTACACATAGTCCCCGCCAAAAAACCACCCATGCCCACGCTCTAAATAAAATAAAAATAGTAATTATCCGGTTAGGGTTAGGATTTAAGATTGTGCTGGATATTCAAATCACTTCTAACCCCAAATGGATAATTTTAAAATGTAATTTTAAAATTTTTTTCAAAAATCTCACATTTTTGCATTAATGGCAGGGGATTTGTACAAAATATTTAGAATGTATTTAAAATAGTAAATTATACTCATTGATAATTCCTACATATACAATTACTGTTAAGTTAGACTTCAATACCAAACATGAAATACCACCTTTTTCCAAATTGATGGCTCTTTCAGCCTGTCCAGAGTGTAGGTAAGAAAATTTACCATAGAAAAAAAATCCAATATTTCCAAAACTAGACACTTTTAAAAAATTCATACGGTATGGTATTATATATTAAACTATATTTTAAAGTAAAGAGTATAATTTGAAAAAAATATGAATATAGCTATAAAGGTTCTAACAAAATTCCTTTAAAAAAAATGGCGATTATCTAGCCACTTATATTCAACTTAAAATAGAATTCAGGTGATTTTGAAAGTGCTTAATGAGCTTCAAATAGGTCGTTCGTCTGAAGACTGCTTTCAAGTGGGCCGTCAATGGCCCTTGCTTCGTACAAAAAATGTTGATATGATAAGGAATAAAAATAAAAGGATTTTTTTAATTCAAGAACACTATTACTAATGATAAATGCAATATGTTTGTAGAGTGATTGATGATAAGATAAGATGATATATTTATCCTGCGGAGGGGAAGCAATCTTGCTTCTTGTCCGTTTGATCAATATTCAATCTCAATATTCTTGTCCGTTTACCATTTGATACCGGTTCCATTACATTTGAACCCACGTACATTTGAACCCATGACAATTGCACCTGTATGCTATTGCACCTATGGAATTTTTTTTGTTTCACGGATAGTTAAACCCATACTAACCCTAACCCATGGGTTTTAGCACCCGCATATAGATTGAACCCGTGGATATACGCATGGGTTCAAATGTGTGGTCACCATTGATACCATGTTTTCCTAAAAATAAGACCTAGCCTGAATTTTAGAAATGATTCTAATATAAGTCCTTCCCTTAAAATAGGACTTAGCAGTTTATTTTAATGAAAAATGTGTTATTTATTAGTAAATGAAATTTCATATTTTGTATATTTATAAATCTTGTAATTCTCTACTTTGAAATTTTGTTTTTGATGAAATAAAAGACATACTTCAAAAATAAGCCCTAGTGTTATTTTTCAAAAGAAAATTGAAATGCGAGCATGGTATGATTATGGAAGTCCCAACTTGAATGTTTCGAATTGAATTTTCATATTTATCCTGGAAATATATAAATCTCGTAATTCTCTAATTTGTAATTTTGTTTTTTATAAAATAAAAGACATACTTCAAAAATAAGCCCTAGTGTTATTTTTCAAAAGAAAATTGAAATGAGAGCCTGCTTATTTTCGGGGAAACATGGTATGATTATGGAAGTCCCAACTTGAATGTTTCGAATTGAATTTTCATATTTATCCTGGAGAGAGAAAAGACGATGAGACAGCTGATATCAAGTGATGATTTTGATATCATTTTTATTTTTTCCAGTCAGTAAAAACCAATCCTACACAAAACAAGAGGAAAATGGAAAAATACAGTTGTACCTGGGAAGAGAAGCCGTGGGAAACCAAGAATGGTTATCAAAAAGTGACAAATGATGGGAAACTTACTACAAAAACTTGGTAATCAATCATACAAAGTATGATTCATATAAAAACCGATCGTAAACAAAATAAGAAATAAAAGTAAACACACAGTTGCACCAGGGAAGGGAAGCAGCGAGGAACCAAAGCTGGGTGTAAAGAATTGACACCCAAAAAGTGGAAAAGTTTTCGCAAATGGCGCTATCAGGATACAGAATATGATTCATATAAAAATGATGGTTCACACACAAAAACATTTTTGTAACACAGAATATACAGCAAGTATCACAACATACAATTTAACAAAAATTCACTAATTCGATAATGAGATTCGGAATTTTCTGTACATTGTTTCTTTTGTATTAACTCACTAACAACAGATTCTCATATTTCAGAAAATCATGCCCAAACTTTAGCTCTGAAAATCACGATTCAGATTTGCTAATTATGATGACATTTTAAGAAAGAGTTCGCATAAGTTGGGACCCCCCTGAATCCGCCACTGGGTGTGACCTATGCATAAATATGAAATACAGGAAATAAAGTCCCTTTCATGAAGTCAGTTCTCAAAATATCTCAACCAAGTCTGCTGTTTTAATCAGTAATTGTTTAGCCATTTTTAGTTAATTTACATATGTAAGTGCCAAAACAATATATGGTATCGATAAATTTCATTTGCAATTTAAAAAATTGTTAAGACTTCATGGAACCCCCTATATATAGTCATTTTATAACAGCACTACCTGTCACTGTCTCTTTCTACATTGTCATATCCATCTGTATGATTGTCTTGCACCCTGCCATGAGACGAATACGAAGGGCGTTCTCCGTACCCTAAAATATTCGCCATTTCACCATCAGAAGATGATGGCGTAATTAAAGACGACAATTCATCATATTTTTCACTGTCATCCGTAAATCCATTTTTCTGTCGGCGTTTCCAAGGTGCTTGTTTCGGGATAACACGCTGCCCGACTTCTCGAACTTGTTCGGCAATATCTTGACGAACGTCAGAAACGTCCAGCATGCTTCGAAAAGAGCGATACCATGGAACATTGTGTCCTTGTATAATAAATGGTTTATACGAAAAAGTGAAGTGATGCGCGACTGCCGCGATCAACATTTCAATGCAGATAATAAAGTCTTGTAAACCGTTTGCCATTTCATCACGTGTTACCCAACCCCATTTCTGCTTGAAAGGAATCACAAACACAACGATAGCAATCGCGACAGCTTGCCAGAATGAAGCAAAAACAACTAATTTAACGCACAAAAATTTTCCCACAGGTTTGATAGGCTTCAGTTCTTCTTTTGTTGCGTAATAAAACAAAACTAAGCAATACATCGCCCAAATTTGTGACGCATTGTTGATAAAAACGATCCAGACCCAAGCATAGGCAGGACTGAAGTCGCCTTCGTGATAACGTCCGGCTAACTCGCAAATCAAAGCAATTAAAGTTGTTATCGGTCGAAGAATAGTGTATTGTAACACTCCTTGTTTACATCGTTCGATAAATATTCCTCCCATTGGCCACACAGGAAAGCAACAGAAAGGCACAAGGTGCTTCTGTTGAGATTTTGCTCCTAATGTCCCTGCAAGTTCATATTCTCTTGTAAGGTAATTCAACAAATACGCCATGAAGTTATAAACAACATAAGCTTCGTAGCATTCTCGTAATGTGTCGAGGTAAATTGCACTTGGTGGGTAAATAATCGCCACCCAAGAGTCGATTGAATATATCGGAACCATCCATAAGATCCGTATAATGTGTTTCTGTAACTCCGGTTGGGTGTAATATATCAAGTGCTGTAGGATAGTCCATAGTGATATAGGTACAGTGAAAAGTACAAAAACCCCAGCGATCAACCACGCTTCCGTTTTAGGTGATTCTTGGCTTTTTTCAAGATATACAGCAACCAATGGTACAGTTACCAGAAAAAGTAGAGAATAGACTACAATAACAACAGGTCGAATCCAAAATCTCCATCCTCTAAGAGAAAACCTCTGCTGTCCAGACTCTGTATCTGGCATCTCCATTTTCAAAGTGATCACTCTTTCAGAAGATAAATTGTGAGCCACTACTGGAATTTCAAAATCTGTAACTATTGGGTTTTAATTTTTGGGAACACAACTACATTCTCAGAAAAACTGTATTAACCAGATAGAAAGCAACTTCGATAATTTCAGGAAGGCCTCTTCTTGGCGAAATAAACAGTCAAAATTTCTTTTTCTTTTTGTCGATTTTGAAACATACAGGGTTATTTTTTTCATACACCAAATATTTGCATTTCGTTAATGCACAAATATAATAGTTTAACCTGCATTGATAAGAAAAAAGTATTGTTATTAAATGGTAAAAGGTGTTTATGATTACTGAATGAATCACAAATAATAAAACGTATGGTTGAAAAATGATAGATGGTGTGAGCACTTCTTCCTGGTTTAAACTTGCCTCACTAATCACTATCTACTGAAAACAACCAAAACATACCGAACAGAAGAAACTCAGAAAAACAAAGACAACTCTGTTTTGCATTATTTTTCTGTTTCGCAATGTATTAGTTGAGAAAGTCTATCTTAAATTTTGACCAATCCTGGCTCTTTTACTGTTTCATATTACAGTACGGCACAGTTCTCAGATTCAAAAATGTCACCATTGGATTCCTCTAAAAAATAATCTGATTTACTGAGGATTTTTATGGCAGCATTCGAGAGTTTTTAGCAAAAAAAAAAAATTGTCCATGTGACAGCCATCTCAAGTCGCGATTAATTGAGATTACTAAACCAAAATTATGTATAATTTATTTGCGACTCAGAGCGTGCGGAAAAAAATATATTTCTTGATCTCTTCTCGCAGTCGGCTGGACGTCGGCTGTTTTGTGTTTGCTGTCATTATTGCTGTTTTAGGTGTTTCAGTGTAGAGTTGCATCACAATAAACGACCAATTGCAAATCTTGAGTCTTCCTACTTATTTAGACACAGTAACAAAAACTAAACTGTGACAAAGTTAAAGGAGAGTTCAAAAATAGAGGACAACACTCAGACACGACCGGCCTGTCAGTGCAATCCAGATAAAATTTCTGTAAACGAGCTTGCAAGCGTTCCATTACCTCATATTTATATAAAATAAAGCAATTACATTTTAGCCTTCTCCCTCGTGTATCGCGGGATTACCTCAGTCTACGGCCTTATCAATAATTAATATCAACATGCTGACATGCAGCGTGCGATATTACCGGTACTGTTTCTGTAATGAAACGCCAGCGTGCATATCTGACACCGTGACTAAGTATCCAATTTCATTATTAAAAGCTTACGGCCACTTTTACCTATCTAAATTCGAAATATTTCTGTTAATGAGTCCACGAATCGAACTCACAGAACCTAAGAAACGAACTGTGCTTAGTAAATCGGAAAAAGTAAAGAAAATACAAATCCTCTTGTGACCTAGTCACGTGATATAAACATATCAATCAAATGAGGTCATCGTTCACATCTTGAGTAAACGGAGTGTTTTGTATACGTTAGTTGGCGCAAGAGTACTATTTTTTAGTGTACGGTGAGCGTACATAGGCGAATGTCGAGTTATGATGATGAAATACGCCCTGCCCAAAGACATTACACGAAAATCAAAGCCTAGAGACTGTTTTGTATTTGTTCCACACATAGTAAAAGCAATATCTGAGAAATATAAGAATTATTAAAGTTTATTTCGGATCTTATGTTGTTTTTTTATGATTCTGTATTTTAAAGATAATTTTTTTTATCGTGTTGCTTTATTGCTATATTTGCTGCTGTAATACAGCAACAAGCTGTTGCAGAGTGAATGCCTCATTGAGTCTTTCGCGACCCCGCGCCAATTGCTGTGAATCAATGTTACTCGTTTTTTAGTTAACTATATTTTTCTTTTGGTTTTATATTGATTCTTGCGTGACGAAATAAATATCTAAACCTGAATGTGACCATGGAAAAAGAAAGTCACCGAGACAGCGTTATCTTGTCGTGACCCACAGCGTGTAGTCCGTGTCCCAGCCCACTAGAAACTGGTTTTACCATGCTTCGGGTTACTGGGGTTGGGATCCTGGGACCCAAAACCGGGGAAACTCCGATTTCAAAATCAGCTCCGAAATCTTAACCAATAAAACAGCTTAACCATATTTAGTGATCCTATCCTAGTGTTGTTCCATCAATCACATGCTGTTTATTTTACTAATTCTAAATAGAGAAATTTCGGTTTCTGTGATAAATATTTACCTTATATATGTTAAATATATTTACAATATCTATGACAACAACAATAATTTTCGTTTGAAGCGATAAGAGACATTTACATCCAACATTCATTTACTATCTACTCCACATTCCTTTCCCAGGTCCGAAATTTATAAAACTTAAATTTTATAACAAACATACTCATCTAGAGAAAAATACCCCCGCTACGTTTTAAAAATACCATATTGGTAATTGGGTGAGCGAACACGTACTACTTCTTTTTTCATCAATACCTTTCCATCTAAAATCTGTACGCTTCAAACTTTACTTGAGGTTTTGTTTTCTTTCCCGATTCTATAATCAGTTACTTTTATTTTTTGTTTTTATCTATTATTTTATCGTCTATTGTGGATTATGGAGTCGAAATAAACTTATACTTATTATTACATCTAGGTGGGGTTAGAAAAGATTTAAAAATTTGAATATTAGGCGCTATCTGCAGTTTTAACCCTAACTGGATGATTAGGCCTACTAATTCTCTTATTTTAAGCGTTGGCGGGGACTTTGTGCAAAAGATCCGACTAAAGCAAGCTTTCTTAAATAGACTGTCAAAAACGTTAAGTAAATGTAATGACTTTTGAGTTGTAGAAAATTTTTGCTTCTATTATCACCAACGAAAGAATAAGATTCAGATAATTTATTTCTATCATGCAAGAATCAACACAAAAATTAAAGCACGAAAAATTGACAAACGTGTATAATGACAATCGTAAAACAATGTAATTATGCACAAAAGAATTCATACAAGTGAAGAACTGTGACAGTTATCGAGTCAGCGACACCTGTATAAAATTGTATGTATTTTCCTGTATTTTCGGCGTGCAACAAACATGGTACATATGAACAAAAAATAAATAAATTCATCGAAAAAACGTACAGTGTTTCAACCGCAATGGGTCGCGAAAAGAATATAAAAGTCCTTGAGTCAGCGAAACCATTTTTCAGCAGCAGATGACCTCAAACAATTACGAAATCATATTAGAATGAATAAATATAACACGGCCAGGCTGATCCTCACATTTTTCGTGTTACATTACCCCATTTCTCCTATTATGATATTTACTTTAATATTCTAAATATAGCAATTTCATTTTTTGTGTTGGATATATTGACGATATTTCAATTATTTACAATCTCCATGACAACACGTAAAATTAAACACATTCCGCTTTATGCTTTCGGTTTGAAGCAATAAACTAATTTCTTGAAATTTGAGTTCTTGTCTCATATTAAATCAGCATCATATTTACTTCGATATCGATTTATTTTTAAATTGCCGTAAATCACACATTTTTCTGTTTCGTGTGGGATCGTTCTGGACGAATGGTAAACAAAATTACTTACATTTTCGCAAATGTGTTTGATTACGTTATCAAGCGAATATGATAAGAAAGAGGAATTTAAAAAATCCGAATAAAAAAACTGGCGCTTAGCGATATATTACATATTACGAAAACATGTACTGAGCGCTCACTTGATTAATTTTAATTCGAAGCGCAACTAAAGGCAAGAGGATAGGAGAAGAAGGGACAGCTTAATTTCCTCTTATAGCGGGATAGAGGATTCGATATAACGACAGAGAGTATGAGAAGGGTGACTCGTGTTAAGATTCGACTGGTAGGAGCGTAGCCAGAAATTTTCAAATGGGCGGGGGGGGGGGGGGGGGGGGGGGGGTGTTCTGAAATTTCTATTTGCCAAGTCAGATCAAAAGAGCTAGCGGGTCCGATCGAACGCCGGTAAACGTGTGTTTCCATTCAAGTCCTGAAGGTCTAGAAATCGTTTTAAGCTACGAAAAATTTCTATGTATGATACAGAAAGATGTTTTTATTTTTTTCACATTTCAATAAGAGGAGAGGGAGGTTCCGACCCCCAAAACCACTCCCTGGCTACGGTCCTGTCGATTGTGGTCAGTATTTACTTTACTTAGTATGAAATAACATTCACACCCCAGCTTTCTATTTTAGAGAGGGTGTTTCTAAATTTTGGGGTCGTTGTTATTTTGTTATTAGGATAAAACCAGTTGTAACTAATAAAAATGTGTTTTGTATTTGACTGATTAACCGCACCGACATATAAGCTGTTTTCTGGATATTTAAAACTTTTTTTGCGTTCAGAATGTCTCTCTTTAAATTTTAGGTGTGGTGTTATCTATGAGTTACTTGTCAATATAAAGGAAAATACAGAATACTTTTTCACGGCCTAGTAAGTCGATAGCGAAGCTGTAGTTTGATGAAGTTGCATTTGATGACAGAGTAACAGAGCCGTAGAGCCCAGAAGCGTAGCCAGGGGGTGGGCCCATCTTTTTTGAATGCAAACAAAAAATTGCATCATAGGTATAGAAATTCAACACTAGCAAATTCACAGACGAAACACCATACAGGGTAATACACATAATAAATACAAAAACGACGCTGTTTTTATAGTTTGACGATGCGCTAATCCTCTACGTTGGTTCGCAGGTTCGAATCTCGCGGATGATAATTATGTAGAGAGGATTTCTGGGATCCTCGCCGCCGTAGTGTCGTTCACGTAATCGATGGCCCGCCACGGCTCCTCCTACCATCCGGTCCGTGCATCTGAAACAAATAACTGGTCAACTAATCCTATATCCGGCATGGATTGGTAACCGGACGAGCGACCGTGGTTTGCCATATAATCAGGGGTACACCGGAACGTAGTATGTGTACCAGGTTAAGAGTTAGGCCATAATTTCAGGTACAAATACCACGGGAGTCACTTGGCTGGTCATCGAACTCGTAATAGAACTAAAATAAGGAAAATCGGAATAAAATTATGGCCTAACCCTAACCTGGTACACCTACTATGTTCAGGTGTCGGCCATCTTGGTACGCATACTACGGAATCACCGGATCAAGTCGTCTTATCGGCTTTCCTCTCCCCGGGATAAAAATCGTTCGAAATTATATCCAATTTATTTTAAAGTTTATGATACGCCGACCATCTGCGATGATACATAGCCGTCCCATTTCTCTATGACGCACGCTGTGCGTAATATTAGGAACAATATTATGAATCACAATAACACGCAGGTTCATTTTTTAGTGCTGGATTATACGCGGCCAAGCTCGAATTATAAAATACATCCACGATTTATATTTGATCACACTTGATACGTTCTAACAATAATGACGAACCGATATTGTAAGATGCTTTCTTAAACTTTTAATACGAAAACAATGCTTAAAAAGAGCGTAAATTTTATTAATAAAACAACAGTGATTTTCCCCAAATTCTTGGTAAATCACAGTCATATCTGCTGTTATTTTTAATATAAATTGCAACGTAATAATATGGGATTTCCGCCATTGTATGTATAAGGAAGGATGATATGATAGTGAATGGCAATCTGCAATGTCAGTTCGCACAGGGAAGTGATGTATAGTCGAACAGTCTGTTGCTATTTACGGTACTGTACGCTTATAAAGTTAGCTGTATTGTATTTGAAGGTTTGAATTTGAAGTTCAGATGAAATCACGAATAAAATGCGTGCT